TGTGCTATCATTATTAATTTCTTTATTTGCGCTTATTTTATTACTGACTGCTTACTTGTAATTTTTTATTCAATTCAAAGTTTGAAATCAAGCTATCTCGTGCTACTGCACCAAAATTACCCCACTGTAAAATTAAAATTGTGAGATAGCTAGTTATAATGGTAATTAAATAATGTTTACATATGTATAAAAGCCTACATTAAAATCTGTCATATAAATTGGTCTCTTCATTAGAAATTAGCCTACTGATTGCCACCATTGATGGACAAATTTTTTTAATAATATTAAAAATATCTGTATGACATTATATTCTGCAGTTCTTCCCTGTTGTACCGAATATCTATACTTTTCAAATGATCATATCAAAGTTAGAAATTCAAATATTGTGACAATTAATTTTGTAGGGTGCCACAAGTTTGTTAAAATTTCCAAAGGGTGCCGCGACTAAAAAAAGGTTGGGAAACACTGGTGTAGGCTACATGACTTTACAAACATTTGACATATTTAATAAATATCATTCAGTGTCTATTTCAATGTGCAGTGGCTTTTTCCACATAGTCTAATGCTCTTTTCACATAGGCTAATTAAATGTTCTCTAATCCATACAACATACATTTCTTAATTAGGGTAATGAAAAAAAACATTTGACTTCTATTCAGCCATCAGCAAGAAGCAGAGATGGTGGTGGTGGTTACAGCATACAGTATATCTCGCACTACCCTTCCATCTGGCATCCTTCCATTCCATGCAGTAATCAGTTTCATTTTCGGAAGGTGCAATGGTGAGAATATGTGTGTAATCAGTGCATCCATCCACACTGGAAAACCTAAAGGAAATTCAAATTATTAGGTTACTTCCAGAGGTCGCAGCAAGATGTTATCAAGTGAACGTCATTTAAAAGTGGTACCTCTCAAATAAATATGCATGTGGATCAAAGAAAATAAAATCCCAATGTAAATGTAACTCCTCGCAAATTAATGCAGCCTCCTCATCTACAGGATCCTGTGTAAAAAGACTTGCCATTTTTTGTCACATTTACAGTGTCTGCATGATGAAAATGAAAGTGGTGTGGTGAGAAAAAATAATCTTGTTTCCATTTGCATTAAGATAATTTTTCTTACCCCACTGGCAGATAATTTGAAAATTATAATTATAATTTTAAAATAAATAAATATTGTGTTATATTTTTTATATGCATCTTGATTTAAGAATTTTTAGGTATTTAGGCTACTTGAAATAAGGCAAAAATCTCAGCAATAAAAGCATTTTTGCAGCATGAATGAATGAATGAATGAATTCTTTAAGCATTGCTTACGCTTTAAAAAGGGGGAGGAGACCGAAAGAAACTCTGGGTTTACCGAAGAAAACCTGCTCCCGACCAGGTTAGGTTCACAGAGCAAGTTACTATGGTAACTTACCGAGAGGTTTAGTTTAGTCTTTTATTGGAACCGAAAACCCTGAGTTTACCTTTTCTGGGGTTAACAGACTCTTAGTTTCCAACAAAACCCGCTTTCTGGAATACACCCCAGGTGTCAGTGTGTGCCCTGTTTTATTTAAAGAACAGGGATCTATCAAAGTTTGGTCATGTTTGTGGACGTGTGTTCACAGAGCAAGTTACTATGGTAACTTACCGAGAGGTTTAGTTTAGTCTTTTATTGGAACCGAAAACCCTGAGTTTACCTTTTCTGGGGTTAACAGACTCTTAGTTTCCAACAAAACCCGCTTTCTGGAATACACCCCAGGTGTCAGTGTGTGCCCTGTTTTATTTAAAGAACAGGGATCTATCAAAGTTTGGTCATGTTTGTGGAAGTGTTTCATGGCACAAACAAATGAGATGTCTGAGGACCTCAGAAAAAGAGTTGGTGTTGCTCATCAGGCTAGGAAAGGTTTCAAAGCCATCTCTAAAGAGTTTGGACCCCACCAATCCACGGTCAGACAGATTGTGTACAAATGGAGGAAATTCAAGACCACTGTTACCCTCCCCAGGAGTGGTCCACCAACAAAGAACACTCTAAAAGCAAGACATGTAAACGTCCACTAGGTTTCAGAGGACCGCAGACTAACTTCTAAGCAACTAAAGGCCTTTCTCGACATTGGCTAATGTTAATGTTAATGTTTATGAGCCCATCATCAGGAGAACACTGAACAACCATGGTGTCCATGGCAGAGTCGCAAGAAGAAAGCCACTGCTCTCCAAAAAGAACATTGCTGC